CTTCAGGTCTCGTTACAAAGTTAATTAAATGCTGAAATAATAAAACTCATGTTAGGGTATTGTCGTATAAAGATAAACAAAGATAAATGATATAAATTACAGTAATTATGCCAATATTACATGTCTGGGGTTTTTCAAATCAAAAAACTGTTTAAGCAGACAAGGTAAGACCCATAAATTGGTATAAAATAGTCTATTGAATTGTAGTAAATAAGTAAATAAATAAAACATTAATTACATGTTTTATTTACTTTTATTTATTTACTGATTTATTACAATTTAATAGACTATTTTATACCAATTTGTGGGTCTTACCTTGTCTGTTTAAACAGTTTATTCATTTGAAAAACCACAGATATGTAATATTGGCATAATTACTGTAATTTATATCATTCATCTTTGTTTATCTTTAGAAGACAACACCCTAATATGGGTTTTATTATTTTAGCCTTTAATTAACTTTGTATCGAGACCTGAAGATGCATTGCATACTGTAGAAAGCGAAACCGGTCGTCTAGATAGTTAAACTTAACTGATTGTGAGTAGGTCTTATTTATTATTTATTTTACCTATTTGAAATGGACTCACAAAGCAACACATTAATGATTTTAAAATAATTGTCTTTCGTTATTTCAAAAATATTTAACGAAACAGTGAGGTTATTTTTAAAGAACCGTTAAACCTCAAAAGGTGGTAAAATTTTTTATTAAAAAATATGTGAAAATAATTTTAAAAATTCAATTTTAGTATTGTTATGAAACTATTTTCTTGTGGCATTTTAAAGTAATTACTATTTAAATGGAAATAAGCCACAAGTAAAGGTTAAAATACGATTTGGGTAGTTGCTTTATAGTAAAAACATTTCCTGGTAAATTATGAAGATTTTATGTTGCTTGTAATTACATGAAAAAAAATTATTAAATAAACATAGATTTTTGACCCTTTTTTATTAATTTTGTTAATTTTAGAATAATAGTAACATTTTTTTAAATTTGAAATCAATTCTATCTTGTAGGAACTGCAATTGCAAACCTTGTTTGGTAGTCCAAATTTTGTCTAAAATGCATAGCTTCCAAGGTAGAGCAATAAAAAAAATTTTAAATTTTTTTTTCCAAATCATTTAATGAAAATTTTATCTCACCTTTAAAAGTAACTGCATAGTGTAATTATTATTTCTAATAATATTTCGAAGTGATTTAAACAAAAATAGGACTATATAGGATTTCCCAACCCAAAACAGATACCACCTAGTCTATTCTGGATTAAGAGACAGTGGTGTTTTTCGTCTGTAGCCACTGATGATCAATCAATAAGAGATAAAGCCTGTAAGCTTGAAAGCCCAATAGAATAAAATAGAATAGAATAGAATAGAATAGAATAGAATAGAATAGAAATAGAATAGAATAGAATAGAATAGAATAGAATAGAATAGAATAGAATAGAATAGAATAGAATAGAATAGAATAGAATAGAATAGAATAGAATAGAATAGAATAGAATAGAATAGAATAGAATAGAATAGAATAGAATAGAATAGAATAGAATAGAATAGAACAACTAAAAAGTTAATGGACTAACTACACTCAAAATACATTTGAAAATATGGTAAGATTATCTTAACACATAATTGGACGCAGATAAATAATGCTAGTGTTATATAAGAAAGGCGTAAAATAGATCCAAATAAATAAAATCTAGAGTTAAAATAATAAAGGTAAAGAATCCAATAAGAGAAGAAAATAGAGAAATATGGTCTTGGAAGGACAGAATTTATTTTTGTACCATACTTGGAGTAATATAAGCATCAAGAGTAATTAAGAACAAGATATATGTGTCAAATAAAAGTCCCAAAAGGATCAATTTGAGCATAATCTTCTGTAAACGCACTTAGGTTCACGAGAAATTCTAGAAACTCTCAGGCCGCACACATAAAAAATAAAAAACATGTGGAATATTGATATTTTTATATAATATGATTCTCTCTTTTTGATCTACAGGTCCTGTGTTAAAATCGCGGTTGAGGTAAATTTGTAAATAAAGTGTTATTAAAATATTTTAATCAATAGTAATACTTATATTATTATTTATTTTGTGTTAAGATGTTATATATTTAGTTGTAGGTTTTGTAAACACAAAGAATTTTTCTTCGCAAAGAAAAGCGCAAAAGAAACATTTTATTGCAATGAAAAGACTAGATTAATAAAATAATTTATTTCGATGATGGACTACGTTATCTCAAAATAAACTTCTTATTCTTCTTAGACTTTTGTCGTTCATATTTCTTCTATCGATCTCTATCCTGAGCAACATACTTCCAATTTGTTCCGGCTAGTCGTTTTATGTCGTCTACCCATCTCATCTGTGTTCTTCTTATTGGTCGTCTAATTTATATGGTCTTCAATGTTATATTGTGGCATTCCCACGTTGGTCTTTTTATCTAATAGTGTGATCTGCCAAACCTCATTTCAATTTAGAATTTTTTTTGTGATATTCTCAACTTTCGTTTTTAATCTTAGGGCGAGCGCCCACCAAAGTGTCGTGGCAGTGGCAAGCAGCAAGTAGCACGCGTCTAGCATATTGTAACCAATCCTAACGAATGATTAGAATGAATGACGTTACTGTCATTTTGGTGTAAACTGAATCATTTCGTTTTCATTGGTTACATTATGCTAGACGCGTGCTACTTGCTACTTGCCACTGCCACGCCACTTTGGTGGGCGCTCTCCCTAAGTCAGTCGTTTCTCTTCTGATCTGACAGTCGTATGCCTAATATTGCACTTTTCATTGCCCTTTCTGCTGTGGCTAGTTTGTTTATATTTGCCTAAGTTGGGGTCCAGCTTTGACATCCATACGTCATGATAAGAAGGATGCATTGGTAAAACACTTTGCTCGTCAAGTATTGAGGTATTTTGTCGATCTTCAGTATCCAACTGAGTTTTCCAAATCCTAACCATGCCACTCTTGCGATTCTAGTGATTATAGCACTTTTGTTCTCTTTCAGAATATATTCCTAGACTATTTGTTATCTGACTGCTATTTATAGTTGTACCTCTAGGATCTTCTGTGTTGGTCATAGTTTTAATTTTTGTCATATTCATTTTAAGACGTATTGAAAGCTTTTTGCAGGTTTCTTGATCATAATTTGTAATCCCTTGAATGTGCTCGTTAAATTTATGATGTCGTCAGTGAATCTAAGGTGCTTTAACTTGTTGCCATTGACGTTCATGCCTTATGTTGACCAATTCGTAGTTTTGAAGATGTCTTCTAGGGCTAGGTTAAAAAGCTTTGGAGATACTTCACTGCCTTTTCTCTTAATGGGGATTTGCCTTCTTTATCAGTGTTCTCATTGTCAGTAGATAGTCTGATTTCTGTCTGTTTAACCGGTTGGTAATTATCCGTTTTGTAAGTTAACCGATTTTTAATAATTCTCACAAACAGTTTGTTTACTAACTGAGCAAAAATATAGGTCTATAATTTTTAAGTCACATCTGTCTCCTTTTTAGTGTTTCTAGTCTAGTTCTGACTCTTGTTCTAGTCTTTAGAAATTTTGCTACTATGAAGATATCTATTAGATAGTGCCGTTGATAGATGTCAATAAAAGTATAATTTTTACTCCAAGATTTCAACATTTTATTGTATTACCATCGTCGATCGAGAAGAATTGGACAAAGGGGCATTACAGAACAATTTGATACTTATAACTACATTCGAATCTGTCCACGCTGTCTAGGTTAATTTTATGTTTCGTGGGAGCTCACATGTCTGGTTATGTCTGTCCAACCAATTTTCTTGCCCCGTGTATTTATATGCCATAGTCTGATCCTATGTTGGTACCATACTGGTTCAGATCTGACTTCTTACAAGTATGTTCTAAAAGTGTCGTGAATAGGTTTGGATAGATGATGTCTCCTTGTCTATACGCCAACTCGCTCTATACAGAATTTATTTGTTTCTTGATCAGATATTTTTACCCTAGCCGTGGCATTTTTAGCAGATGTGTTGAGTTATATTAGTGTAGTAATGGTTTATTCGATATTCTGTCAATGCTTCTAGGATTTTCTGCTGGCTTTGTTTAATGTCTTTTTTGTTGTATAGTTGAGTTGGCTTTTTTGGTCAGCTGGCTTCTTTTATTTAAAGGGCAGTAGTTGTTTTCCGTTTCTATTAGTGCCGTTGTTATCGCATTATTTGCTTGTTCAATATTTTCTATTTCGTTTTAGTCTTGTATATGTCTGGTTAGTGTATTTTCACACTGGTCCTTGATTTTATTATTTTCATCTTGGTTCTTCACAATTTGATATTTATCCAAATCTTTGCTCAGATTAATCTGTGGTCGCTTAAAAATTTGTTAAAGCACTTCCATGTTTTTGGTTATCTCTTTTCTGTTCGTTATGATATAATCTAATTTATTTTTGACACTGCCCTCTGGTCTTTTGGATTACAAGTACAAACTAACAAATCGCAACGATATAGTATTATTACCTATTTTGAAGAATGTGCTAAAATTGCACAGCTGTGATCTAGCTGTCACAGTTATTGCGACTAAATAATGCGTTTTTAAGTTATTTTAGAGTGATTTTATTAATCGTTGTGTAAAAATTTACAAAACAAAAGCCTTTTAACTTTTATTTATTGAATGAATCTTTATAAAGTATCCGCGCTAAAATCAAGTATGAAAAATTGTTATATTATGTTTACGGTTTACAAAGCATGTAAAATCTTTTTTTTCTTCTTTTTGGAATGACTATGTGAACTTATAATATATAAAATATGACTAAACTAAAATAATTCAATAGAATATACCTATACTTTTTAGAATTGTCAATAATATTATCCCAATATTAACCAAATGAAGTCATCATTGGCAATAGAATATACCTATACTTTTTAGAATTGTCAATAATATTATCCCAATATTGACCAAATGAAGTCATCATTGGTTTCCTAACGGATATAAAATTTCTGACGATATCGGTATCTCAACCACCCAAAAGAAAGCGTACCTCTCTGTGCGGCTGATTGTCTCCAGCTTGCTTGTGCCACTCTTCGGCTTCCCATAGTTCTGGAAACTATTAGCTCTACGTTAGCTTCCTGTCTACTTTCGGCAATTATTTCGGCTACTTCTTGGGAAGATTTTCCTTGCAAAGATCGACCATTCCATTCGATAACCTCGTCACCTGAAACCAAACATAACATGTGTTTGAAAGGTTATATTGAGTATACGAGTTTATAACTGCTAAATTTTCTATTTCGCCGTCTTTTATGGAACAATTTACATATACTATTTATAACTTACTTTAAAAGACCAAATATTTCTTGCATTCTCTATAATATATTCCTTTTCTCTAAAAATGTACTCCTTTTAGTAGTATAAAATCGAATGTAGATAAAATAGCGCCTTCTAGCGCCTAGTAGCTATAGTTTATTTATGTTTTCTCGTGATGACTTTGTTGCCAACTGTCCATACCATTACTTAGTTTCAGTTTCAATTACAAGTTGGTCAAAGACGGTTGGGTTGTGTCATACCCCATTACACAACTGTTCTAAATTTTAGTTGTTTTGTGTTACGATAAAAAATACTATGACTCATAAAACTGTAATCAGTTTCTTTCTAATTCTGATATGTTCTAGATTGTTAACCGGCAGAAATTCCAGGGAATACCTGACCGGTCTCCGACGATTCAAACTTTCCGGAAGCAGGCTGCTATAAAAACCAGTCTGACTTCACGGCGATCAAGTTTGTTCCGGAAGGTCAATACGCGCTTCCAGAATAACGTTATTTAGTATAAATAGAAATTCCATGTAAACAGTTAGTCAATCCGAAATAAATATTGTAAATACATAAATAATATAAATTATAGTAGTTGTGTTGTGTTCTAGAGGTAAATTTACATGGTATTTTTGATATTTTTCGAGACGTACTATGATTTTTATTTTTCTTTTAGCGATACTTAATTATACAATAATTATGTCTTACAGACAAGAGCAGGAAAGATTAGGACGTTTATTGACTGGGTTTGGCACTATTTCTGACAAGGACAAATCGTTCATTGATAATGAATCTGAGAAAAAACAAACCGCATTAGAAAGTCAAGAGAAAATAATATTGGAAGAAGAGGCTGAAGAAGAGACAGCACACAAATGATAGGATTCTGAAGAAGTGAAAACTAAAAAAGAAAGTGAATTTTCATTCGGTTCAGAAATTGGTAGTGATAATATTGGTAAGATATACTATTCAGATAAAGACAAATCAAAGTAGTTCAAGCTTCCAAAGAACAAAAAAGTGAGAAGAAGATCGGACAATATAATTAGGTACATATTTACCTGGTGTAAGAGAAATAGTACGAGGAAAGCAAAGTGTTCTTGATTGTTGGTTGTTATTCTTTACAGAAGAACTGTTAATTGACATTGTTGACTACTCAAATGTAAAATTAGCGACAAAATTCTCACGGATGCACGACATTCCTATTTAGTCAAAGAGACTGACAAAAAAAGAAATCAAATCTGTTGTAGACATGCTCTATTTGATGGGACTTTACAAGTCATCATCATCATCATGGCTTATTCACTCCTGGCGGAGTGTTTGCCGCCCTTTTGAGCTCTCTGATTCATTTATTGCGGAGAATCAGTCCGCTGTTGTTCTTTTTATTACTATAGAAGCGTGTGTGACTTGGCCCTGTCTACAATTTTCCTCCATTCTTTCCGATCCTTACAGCGCTCCTTCCAATTGTAGATTCTCAGCTTCTTTAGGTCTCCTAAGACTTGATCTCTCCATCTTGTTTTGGGTCTCCCCTTTGGTCTCTTTGTTGTTGGTCTCCATCCAGTTATTCGCTTTAGCGTAGAGTCTGGGTTAGCTCTTTTTGTGTGCCCCAGCCACCTGAGCCTTTGCGTCTTAACGAACTTGATTATGTCTTCACCCTCGATGACTTCTTTAATTTCTTCATTGGTTAGTCTTCTAAATTCGCCTATACTTATCCTCACTGGCCCCATTATTCGTCGAATTATCTTTCTCTCTAGGATTTCTAACCTCATTTCATCTTTTTGTGTTAGGCACATCGTCTCTGCACCATAGGTGATTACTGGCCTGATTGCAGTCTTGTAAATTTCTAATTTGGTTTTCTTACCAATGTGTTTTTCTTTCAGGAATTTTTGGTAGTTCCAGTAGGTTTTATTACCCAGTGGGATGCGTTCATTTATTTCATCTGTTCTATCATTTCTGTCAGTTACCATCACTCCCAGGTATTTGAAACGGTGTACTCTTTCAAATGTATATGCACCAAACTTAATTTCTTTCTCTATGTTCGTATTCTCTCTTGAATACTTGAGGTATTTCGTTTTGTTTTGGTTTATTACTAGCTCTCTCTTCTTTGCTTCTTTATCTAATATTAATATTATGTTCTGCATGGTTTTTAAATCTCTAGTAACCAGTGCAATATCGTCTGCATACGCAATCAGTTGGGCTGAAGATTCGATAATCGTTCCCATAATTTTTGCTGCTCTTACTGCGCCCTCTATGGCAATGTTAAATAATGTTGACAGGGAGTCTCCCTGTCTGACACCTACCTCCATTTGTACTTCATCTGACGGGCCTTCCTTTGTTAAGATTCGTGCCTTGGATTCCTTCATCGTCATTTTCGTGAGACTTATTAATTTTTTTGGATGCCTAATTGATTCATATTCTTAATTAGCTCCTCCCTTTACACTGTCAAAAGCTTGCTTGTAGTCAATAAACAGTATATGTAGATCTACTCCGTGCTCGTAACTTTTTTCGACTATTTGCGTTACAATGTGTATTGCATCTATTGTTGACTTACCTTCTCCATGTTGAATCCATGTTGGTATTCACCTATTTTTGTTCTAGTTTCTTTTTCTATTCTTTGTCTGATCAAATTAGTTAATATTTTGTACATTGTATTTAATAACGTGATTCCCCTGTAGTTGATGCATTTCGTCTTGTCGCCTTTTTTAGGGATTGGTGTTATCAGACCACAATTCCAGTCGTTCGGCATGCTTTCTTCTTCCCATATTCGTTCTATTAGGTTGTGGATTCTGTGGGCTAGTTCCTCTCCCCCATTCTTAAAGAACTCATTTATAATATCGTCTGGTCCTGCTGCTTTCCTTGTCTTTAATCTGTTTATAGTCACCAATAGTTCGCTGTATGAGGGAGACTCTGATTGTTCTCCATTCCTATTTTCTGTTTGTTCTTCATTTTCTGCGTTTTCAGCATCGTCTTTCTTTACAAGTCAAACTGACAAAATATTTAAGATCTTTGGAATATTTATGGCACCGGTATTGATCTCATTCAAATAACAATGCCACAACAAAGATATTCTATTTTATTGCAATGTTTGCGATTCGAAAATGTGAAAAATAGAGTAGAACGGAAACAGATTGACAAATTGGCAGCAATTAGAGGATAATTTGATCAATTCGTTGGCAACTGTAAGGTACATTATATACCAAGTCACTGTCTTATATTAGACGAAAAACTGTAATCATATAGGGAACGTATGTCATTTCTTCAATACATAAGCCAGCGAAGTATAGGTATTTGCGCTAGTGGATTAAAAAACTTACTCTAAACATAGAAGTTTACGTCGACACACAGTCAGAAGTACCTTTCCGACAAAGTAACAATTCGCAAAACATATTTGAACGTTTGATTGGGCCAGTTTGTGACATTAAACTTAATATTTCCTTTCGATAACGGTTAACCAGTTTTCCACTTATGATCAATTTACTTCAGAATCATCATCTTACATCGATTAGGACAGTTAGGAAGAATACAAGACAATTTCCAACAGCACTTCTAAACACACAAGGAAGAGAAATTCGCAGTTCAAAATTTGCCTTCAAAGAAAATATATCGGCTATCTTATATGTACCAAAAAAATTAAAAAAAATGTAATCTTCTGTTTTACATTGCATCATAATAATACTATAATTAAAGGAAACTGGTAAAAAGAAATTAGTGAACGAGTGAATTACTCCCACTACATGGCAAATATAGGCAAGAAACAAATATTGGCCAAATACACGACTAGTGGGTGTCCATATTTAAGATCAGCAAAGTCTTACACTCTAAGATCTCCTACTGCGCTAGACATCCAATCCCTTATTAGGTGGCCTTACGCAAAATCACCAGTCTCCTTAATTGTATCTCTTTCAGTTGGCTTGGCTGGATAAATTTCAAACAAAGGTCTGGCCACCTTTGGTAAGCGATCACCGTTATTTAAAAACTTCAGAAGTAATTACCATTATATTTTAACGGTTCTAACTTATTATCAAGTATCAACTTTCCCATTTAAAATACAATTACTAAACAATTTATTTAGCCCGAAAAATGTATGATTTCAAAAATTATACATAACGACCCTTATTGCTAAATTGATCATTAATACTTACCAGGTCTTAGTTGGCCTTCCACATCAGCTATACTGCCCTTTTTAACCTTTTCTATGATAGCCCCAGTCATTCCATTTTCGAGTATTTTCCCACCAACTACTTTAAGTCCCAAAATAGAAGCACTGGATCCACTTGTATCTCGAGAATTTCGCCTCAGAATCATATGACCTATCATTTTGGTTCCATCAGCTGAGACTTGCCACGATAAAGGGTGCTGTTTTAGAAAAAATACCGTTATGACAGGTGAAATTTGTACAAGAGAGAGAGAGAAGTATTAGTGCATGCAAGAAGCAAATTCTACAGCGATTATTTGCTTGCATCACAAAACTTTGTGTTTCCTTAAATTAAAATATAAAATTAAAATTTAAATTAGTCTTACAATTTAGATAACCATTGATGACAGTGTCGATAAATTTTAAAGCTTTTCAAAGTACTCTACTATTTCTCCAGTAAAAAGTAATTATTTACTAGTATGATACGTAGTTCACTAACTACGAAAAATGAGGATACGCATACTGAACGAAAATTTTGAAATAAGTTTTAAGATTTTCACAAACTTTAGAAACAAAGAAAGACAAACAATTAAATATTGAAGAAACAAGTATGTTAATTGAAAAAAGTTAAAAATTTTTTTTGCAATTGCGTACTGGTTTAATACACTCTGTTTTTACCAAAGATTGTATATGTAAAAAATAAGTATTCAACGTGGAAAAAATGTTGTTGGAGAAAGCATATTTTTCGTCACGTAAACCATTGCTTTTGTATTTATTAAAAATTTGTTTAAAAAGAATTGTTTATTAAAAGCCATATATTTGATAAAAGCTGAGATGACAAAAGGAAAGCGTTTTAGAAGAATACATCTTGGATTCATTATAGTATTTTAATATGCTTTTACTCAAAAAATATTTATTATGAAGCTAATGAATTACTGGAAAATAATTATAATGGTGGGTTATTGTACATGTAATCCTATATGTGGATGTATTTTACTGCAGCCAAATGGCTTATTGTGCATATTCTGAATTCTGTATCTGCTTGTACAGGTTTATTAGATGAGTACCAACTGTTTTTGGAGTAACTTGGTAGTCTCCAAATAGTGTTGAGTCTTGCAAGATTTGGTTGACTTTCAGGTTGTCTATTACAGAGTCTTTAGTGTAAGTTTTTTGAAACATATTCATTGTATAACGGTGTCCCTTGACTAGGGCATGTCCAGAAAGCCTAATATGAATAAACAGAATTACTGCTGCTTATTTTCTATAGTACTTCAGCCTTAGTAGCACATTTTCGTCCAATATACATTTGCTATATGTTTGACTGAATATTTTTCCCAGGTATAGTTGTATCGCCTTCCAGTCCAGGCTATTTTCGTCGTGGACGATGCTATTTGGTACTTTCACGGTACTTTTATTGCTGTGTTTTAACCGGTGTTCTAGAATCCACACCTCTCCTTCCGGCTCGAGGAGATAAGAATACGGCCGGGGCGAGAAGACCCTGCCTGTCGTAAGAGGCGACTAATGGGCGGATATACGAGGTGGAGGGCCGTCGTTTAAGGGTGTAGGGTTGGTAGAAACGCACAGAGATGCTTAGTCATCTCAGTCACCAGTCTACATTCCTAGTATCCGAGACGAGCACCTCGTGGGACCACTCTACTCTCATTTTTCACAAGAGCCAGGTGAGGTTGAACGAGCCAGGTACGTATGCACCTCCTGAAGCCGACACCGCGGAAGGGGGTGTGGTTAGACTCGTCACGTACCTACCTCGGAATGATCTAAGAGTGGTAGAGGAGCGATTCCTCGGCGGTGACCTGTCTTCGTGCGAGGTGGTATTCCACCACCTGCGTGCCTTTCCGCCTTCGGGGGGAGGACTCACGAAAGGGTGGCATGACCCGCAACAAAGGTACTACGGGGGAGGTGAAGCCCCACGATGTTTCAGCATGGTGCCACCTCCAATTGGTGTAGGACTCATAGGGACAGTGAGAGCGGTAACTGTCGTATACCAAAAGGCCAGGTAGACCAATGTCCTGCCAATTAATTTTGGAAGGCACAAAGATTTGCAATGGAACCCATACCAGCGTCACCTTTCAAATGTCTACCACTACTAAGTATTTTTTGCACCCTAATCTTCTGCATCTTCAGACTGTGACTTCTATATTAGCTGTGTCCTTTATCCCATTTATCTAGTGGAGAAATGTCTACTTGGAAAGGTAATTTATAATGTTACTACGTCCTGATGCAACACGTATGTTGCTCAATTTTTCCACCTTATAACTGTGTAAAGCCTGGAGGTTCAGTAGGTCTCAATAGCTCCCTACAGCAACTGTGATTCCAAGGTAAGTAAGACGTTGTGCCTTAGTTTAAGGATGGCACTTCTTGCCGCACCTTTGTCCACCATACCAATGATGCATGTTATAAATCTAATATAACAGGTCTGGTTTTAAACCCACATTTTTCCAAGAATGCGTCTAACTACCATTAACGTATATACAGCTAGCTCTCTTGTTTATTTGTTCTTAATGCTGATTCCAAGTAAGCTTTGAGTCTAATATTACCCCAACATTCTTTACCTCACTCACTAGATTTGGTTGTGTACCACTTCGGTTTAAAGGATCCAATTCCTCTAAATTTTTACTTCTGTTAAATTTCAAATTTTGCAGATCTAGGGGCTTATATTAAGCCTTACATTTAAATTCCATTCTGTGATTATAATTAGAGTCAGTTGCGTTTTATTTCTAAATGTACCATTTAATTTGCCGTGGGCTAAGATGACTAGGTTATCCGCATAGCCCGGACGTAATGCCTGTCGTTGATTAGTGTAGGTGTCAGTCCATTCATGACCATATTTCACAAATGAGAGGATAAAAACTCCTTCTACTGCATACGACCCCTTATGTATCCAACTTTTAAGCAATTTTTCTTCTTCAAGTGCCATCTCCGCGGCGAAGGTCGGCAATCATCATAGCTATTCGGACTTTTGAGACGGCTGCTCTGAAAGTTCATTTGATGTATATCCGTACCACTCTCTCAGGTTGCGCAACCATGACATTCTATGTCTCCCTATGCTTCTCTTTCCTTGGATCTTTCTCTGCATAATCAGTTGGAGCAAGGTGTATTTCTCTTCACCTGTAATGTGTTCGAGATATTCTAATTTTCTTGTTTTTATTATATTTAAAATTTCCATTTTTTTATTCATCCTTCCCAGAACCTCTTTGTTTGTGGCGTGTTCTGTCCACGATATTTTCAGTATTCTTCTGTACACCCACAGCTCAAATGACTCCAGTTTTTTTATTGACGTCGTATTTAAGGTCCAGTATTCCTTTCCATGAAACAAATTCGAATAAACGTAGCACCTCGCCAACCTAACTCTTAGTTCCAGTTTTATTTTAAGCAAGACTCTATCTCTAGTATGCATATCGAGCGGTTTTTCTAGAATCTTCACAAGAACTTTATCTTCTACCTGTCAAGTTTTCTCAGATTTGAAAATAAATGCTCGATGAATAAATAAACCTCGATGCTTCTGGTATTTACCCAGTTCTAAGCTAGTCTGTAGTTTCATAGTTTTTTTGCAAGTATTTCATAAATCTCATCCGGACCTCGTTATTTGTATGGCTCAAATAAATCTATAGCTCATTTGATTTTGTCCACAATCATAAGTCATTGTATCCAGTCCAGTTCTCTGGCATGTGTATAGTGGTATCAGTTTTGTTTTAGACTTAGAAAAGTGCACTCTAAAAAATTATTTTAGGATCTCTTCACCATTCTGACTGTATTCATCTGACCCCTTTTCGATCGAGGGAACACTAATCTCAAAGTTATGTTATAAAACTTGATATTTCTGCAGTCCGATCCATTGATAATCTACAGTCTCTTCGCAACGCCTTCTCTAAGATAATCACCTCATTTATCTGATTTTTTGACGAAATTAACTTTTTATCTGACTTCTGTGCTTTGCTTTGTTAAGTTGTTTTTTCACCCCGGTACTTTTCTGTTGAAATTCCCCACTATCTCCCAACAATTATGTTCAATAAGGACATAAAAGCCTTCTGAAATAGTTTGGCCGCCACATCTAGCTAAGTAAATGCTTATGGTGTCTTTAATCATATCTAAACAATATTCCAGGTCTGCTTGATGATGAAGGTTCGTCTGCAGAATTCTGACTGAAGCGATCCATGCCTCTGATGATTTTAAATGATATCTTCAAGTCTATAATATGCTTTTAAATGAGCAGCTTTCCAAGCTTTAAAGGAGACTTCGTCGATTATGTATAGTAAGATTTGCGTCTTATGTATAGTAAGATTTTATCGGATTATGATTTTTTAACAACCAGTCTTCCATCTTAAGGTCTTGATTTTGTTTTGTTAGAAGGATCCTGATAATATTCATCTGCCTCTTTCTCGAGACGCAAATAATAATAGGGCCCTCAGACATATTGTATTCGATTACATTTAAGTCGGGTAACTCCCACAGGCCTTATATACTTTTCACCAACTCAGTCGTCCATTTTTTTGTATGCCCATTAGCTGACTTTATTCACAGGTTTCTTCGCTAAACGATGATTTGTGGAACTCCATATCCAAATCAAGTTGATTCTGGCTTCCGATAGAAACCTCATACAGTGCTTTTTTAGTTTGTAGATAATCAGGTCTTCTTGGTTCTATGTGTTTTTGCTATGGTTCATGCTCCGGCAGCTATTTTGGCCTCTATTGATCTCCCGAGTAATGTTTTTTGATAACTGGTTAAGAGTCTGTTCCCCTCGGTATTCCTTTTTTGCCTCAAAATTTGGAGTAGAAATAAAATCCGTGACTGGAGTCGTATTTCTGACCGTTTTTGTTATGTTTATGTGTGTGAACTCAGAAGTATTACTTATTTCTAAGCCCTATTCTGAGCAGTCTGTTTTTGTTTTAATCTTTCTAGCATTTTTTTTAACGAATTTCATTTTTCAACAAAATCTATTTCCATACCAATACGTTTGATCCAATTGTATTTCAATACCATTCTTCTCTTTCTATAATATTTTATAAAAAATGCTGCATACGTGTCAAGTCATCTACAGTCGCAGTGGCTTCTTGATTTGACAAAAAGCACTGACCAACAAGGAAAGTATTCAGTTTTGAGAATAGATAAAAGATCGAAGGTAATCTAAAGAATATCTAATTTATGATTGAAA